AAAAAAAAAAAAAAAAAAAAAAAAAAAGAGTGAATTTATACTTATTTATAACATTAAGATACTTATATATATATGATAAATTAAATTCAAACAAGTTATACATGTATACATTTCTATATATACTTTCTGGTAGTAAATATTCAATATCATTTAAACCCCACTTAGTTCTAACGCAGGTGACTCTATTAACTTTTAATAACTACTACAGGTCAAGTGACAAGTATACTTGCAAGTGAGATTCTTATTTAGAAACAGAAATAACTGCTAAACATTTATAAATACAAACTTAGTTATATATTACTATCTTACATTACACATGTTCCCTCTAGTGGATAAAAGGTATCACTGCCATTTTTAAAGAAATATCTAGAATCTGGTTTGCTAAAAAAATAAGGTACATTTCTTGTGAAGAAAAAAGAAGACAGATAGAAATTAAACAAATAAAATTTCACAAAGATTTATTTCATCCTAAATATGTCCAAAATGCAACTTGCTAATCACATAATGATTCAATATATATTTTCTATAATTAAGATGGAAAGAAATTTTATTATATCTCAGATGAAATACTAAATACAGATTGGTTCAGTATGTCAGATGTGACAACTATGGCAACCTGTATATTATCTTGAAGATACTTAAAGAAAAAAGATCATTATAACTTGTTTTATTGATGTTGTGCCAAGAAACTGTCTTTTAAAGATGCACAACAGCATTAATAGGAAAGGAGAAATAAGAAAATGTGTCACTTCTGCTCATGAATTGGATAAATAAATTAAGTATCAAAATTTCAGGTGAACCTCCACAGACGCTAGTAAATTTCAACTTAAGTAATACTCTTCACCTTTGCAATAAATATCACCTACCAGGGAATATAGCTTATTTTTCTTTTTCAGACTAATGATTTGGACAAATGAAAAATGAATTACAAATGGTATAAAAATAGATGAATTCAAGTATTATTTATATGTTTAGAAAGAAAAAAGAAGGCCAAAAGAAATATGGCCCATGAAGAAATATGGCCAAAGATTATTTCAAACAATAAAATAAGCCAAAACAAACCTCTATTAAAAACTCTTCCATGAAAAAGTATAAAGTACCAGTAAATGCAGCTAATTAGTAAGTTAATTCAACTTCCCAAAAGATGAAGAATCATGTAGAACAGAAATCTTCTGATTTAGAAAAAGAAACAATTATAGACTATTAATGGCTAGATATAGAGTTTTCTGGGAGGTACAGGCAGCAAATTGTGCTGTAAGTTAGTCACTCACAGCTGAAAGTACTACAAATGGAAGATAGGTAGCCAAAATGAAAATTTCTCAATATACGCAAAGAGGCAGAATGAGTATAGTCACCGAAAACCTGGGAGCTAATAATAAATTCAGGATGAACTGAAGGTTATATTATTCAAAGGCCTAGGAGGAAAAATCAAACACATGAAGTTCGACAGAAAGTAATTAATTAATATTAGGTAAATCTACTTTTATGCATTTTTAAAAACCTAATTCTATATTTTGTTCTTCTTTTTAAACTATATTCACAATTTTACTGGCTACACAATAAAGAACTAGAAAAAAATATTTTGTTTTTCCTAGGGAAATATGTTTCTGCTATATACCTAGTGACAACCACTCACTGCAGGTGTCTCATCTAAAAGGAATAAACTGCCTCAATGCAGCTGGTCAATAAAACCAAACCTATAAACAGTGACAAATATCTCAAAACATCGTGTTATTTTCGACAAAGAGATCATTCTAATATTTTACAAAGTATGAGAATAAATGGACCAGAGGAGTACAATTGTTATGAAAATTTACAAATCTATGCAATATAATTAAAACGCTAATTTGGTACACAGAAGAGAGTATCCCTGGAGAACAATTGTTAAATATATTTGCTTTTTTTTTTTTTTTCTTAGCCATGACAATGCTCCAAAGATTATTCTCATCTTGCTAGCCTTACTGTTTTCTAATGGGAAGCTAATGAGAATCAGGAACAAACCGGCACATCTTTTTAGATTTACTCCTTTGGGACTATTAAATCAGTTATACTTAAAAAAAAAAAAAGAAGTGATTTAGTCCTAATGTACCCTCACAATCAAATCAACACTAAAAAATTATCTTAATGGCATATAACCTAATATCTTAAGTAAGTGTTTTTAAGACAATAAATGTTGTTAGATTCTGCTGTATTAAAATGGATTATCTAGAAGAACATATCTTGAATTCCTATCACAGTTTACATAGTTACTAGAAAGCAATCAAGGAAGCCACTTATTATTTTAAAATAAATAATGCTAGAAGTTTTTACCATACTCTGAAGAAAAAATAAATAATAAAAGCACTATTTGTATATTGTGTTAAGTAATCCACACAGCAGGAATTCAAATCTAATTACAATTTCTTGGAACAATACTAGTTCTATTATTTTTTCCTAATGTACTTGAGTATACAAAATGAAATGAAAGAGGCCATGGAGTTAGAGCAGGGCAATACAGAGGTTCTGAACAGGGACACAGAATGGTACAGTGGTTAACAGTTCCTGAAGTCAGATTTCAAATTCCAGCATGCCCTTAGACAAGTTACTTATTTAAGCAAAAACCTCTTCATCTGTAAAATGGAAATAATAGTAGGGTTATGGTAAAGATCAAATGAGACAGGACATTCAAAACACTTTGCACAGTGCCTGGAAAAAGCAAATCTTCAACAGAAGTAACGTATTCTTCTTATCAGAGATAAGAATATATCAGGCCACTAGCATAATTTATTTAGGTAAACCACTTAGTGTATAAACCTATGAGGACCCTCCCAGTTGTAGTTACACATTTAAACATACAAGAAAATTGATTTCTAATATTGAAGCATTTTTTCTATCTTATCATTTCTGTAAAAAATAAAAACAAGTTGTTCTGCAGGCCACCTATTTGACAATGTAACATTTAATTCTGATAATGCAAGAAATTTGAAATACCTCTCTCGTAATTTTTTCAGCTCCACATCTCTTTCACCAATCAGTTCTGAGATACTAACAAAGTAATTATGTTCCAAATTTAAAAGAGTTTCAGAGGCAGGAGAATGAATTAAGTCATGGTAAACATCTGCAAAATCTTCATCCCAGCTGGGTTCTTCAGGCCTTGCATGCTCTAATGTAGTCTACAAGATAGTATACAGACATTCTTAAATCATGACATAGTATTTTTATTTAACACTACTAGAAAAGTACATATATTATGATTCCATTTTTGTACATCAGACAATGACAAACTGATCTGTGGCAAGATCAGTTTCAGTAAATTGGTGAGTGTGGAAACTAGATATCTAACAACCTACCTGTCTGTCACTCACTGTGATTCCTATAAAGCTTTGGCACCAAGTTTACAGACTTCCTCTCTGCCCCACATCCTGCCATCAATCTGGGTTACTTGGATATCCATGTGAATAACCCATCCAAGGCCCTGCTTCTTACTTTCCTGAACTCTACAATCTTTACTGTGGAGTCCCAATTAGGGAAAAGGAGTCAGGCTGGCAGAACCAGGGAAAAGCAAAAAGAGAAGGCAGATAAGCTCTAAGTCTGCCTTTCTTCATTGTCCAGACCAAACTTGTCCAACCTGTGGCACAGGATGGCTTTGAATGCTGCCCAACACAAATTCGTAAACTGCAATTTTTTTTTAAAGCTCATCAGCTATTCTTCATGTTAGTGTATTTTACGTGTGGCCCAAGACAACTCTTCTTCTTCCAGTGTGGCCCAGGGGAGCCAAAAGATTGGACACCCCTGGTCCAGGCCATGTAGCCCTTCTGCACCCAACTTTCACCAGACACCTGCAAGTTAGCTGCAAGATTGGGGTTATCAGTACTGCATGTACCACTCTACGGCATACAGTATAAACACTGTCCTACAAAATCTCCAGCAAGCCTTTGTATCCTTCAAGTCAGCTTCTCTTCTACTGCCCACCGCTTCCTCTCAATATATTTTCCTGCTTTCTCTAATAAGTCTACCTTTCTTTACCTACAACTGTCTTGGCAAATTCTTTAACTCCTGCGCCACCAGCCCAGAGAGTCATCGTTCATCTGCGACATTTACTAGTTCTCCACACCACCTCGACCATCCATTAGTATCCTCACCAGAAACTCAGTCAGTCAATATTCAAACATTCTGGTCTAACTATAACCTCCACCCAAAGTTTGTCACTCAGTACTTCCCAGGTAATTGATATTTAACCTCGTCAGGACCTGCACTTCATAAATTCCTCAATGTTTTCATTTTTTATCAGCCATCAACTGCCACCTAGCTTCACTTCCTTCCCTATGTAGCTTACATTTTGTGATCTAGCATTCAGCCATTGTCATGCCAATATCCTTAACTTCCTTGACTGGTGTACTTTATCTTACCCACTTAACAAAATCCTAATCTTATTCCTCTTCTCTGTGCCTGCAGTCAGGCTTCAGAGACCTGCAACAGAAAAATCACAAAACTCTGTAAGTTTGTGGTAACAAACTGGTACCACTCTTAATCTTGGCTTCAATGGTGCCTGGCAATCCTATCATTCCCTGCTCAGTTTTCTCCTCAAATATCCAACAATCTTATTATACCTACCACTTCATCTAAACAAACAACCTGTCTTTCCTTATATAAAGTTGAAACAATCAGAAGAGAATATTCTGAACTTCTTGCTACCAAATTAATAAAATTATCTGAATTTATATTCAACCTCTCCTGTTTCTCTTTGGCTATAACTGGAGAAGTATCTGTCTTCCCAGTTAAGGTTAATTTGCCATTTGAATTCTGGATTCTATTGCTTCTAGTCCTAAACTCTGCCGCCTTAAAAAACAAACCAACCTTTGATCTTGTTAGATAATAATAGCCATGAAAGATAAGGGGTACTGAATAGTTTGAACCTTAAAGAAGCCAGGTGTTATGCCTGAAAGCAGAGGTGAAGAAATAATGGCCTGGACATGAACAGCCTTCTCTCTGCAGCCACTTCCTCAGTGCCCCATTCCTCTCAGCTGTCACAGTCTCCTTTCTAGTAGCAACTGTCCTGAGGGAGTGGCGTAAATTAGATCAAGGAAAAACTATACTTGGTTCCTCTCATGTAGGTATCTTCTACCTATTCATAAGGTTTGCCCTAGGCTGAGTTTAAAATTAATGCTGCAGATTATTATAGTCAGGTGATCTTGTAGTGGGGCTACTGAACATCTGGTGTTATGTGTGATTACGTAACTAATGCATGCAAGTTATTTTACCATACAGTATGTTAGAATGTAAATAAAGGCTATTAGAAATCCCACTGTTCTGAAATAGCCACCATTAGTATTTTGTTGATCGTGTGTGTGTGTGTGTGTGTGTGTGATTTCACAGAAATGAGGTCATAGCATATGCTTTTATTGTGGTCACTTCCTGTCCCTTCCTCCACATTAGTACCTCCTTCTCATTTTGCTTCCAGGTAACTTATCTTAAGAACTTAGTCTATATCTCTCCACAGTTTTTTTCTATACTTAGACAATCCTATATAATACACACAAATATATTTACACACACATATATAAAATAGGGTCTTTCTGTCATCTGATGTTATGAAACAGTATATTATTTAACTAGAAAATGATATTATGTGACTTTACAACAATAATGAAGTTTATAAAAGTAAACCAAAGGTTAAATGAATCATTACTGCTAGTTTGGGGTTGCCAGATAAAATACAGAACAGCCACTTAAATTAGAATTTCAGATAAATAGTGAAAAACTTTTCAGTATAATTATGTTCCATGTAATATGCTGGCATACTAAAAAATTGGCTGGTGGCTCATGCCTGTAATCCTAGCACTTTGGGAGGCTGAGGTGGGCAGATCATAAGGTCAGGAGATCAAGACCATCCTGGCTAACACAGTGAAACCCCGTTTCCACTAAAAATACAAAAAATTAGCTGGGCATGGTGGCATGCACCTGTAATCCCAGCTTCTTGGGAGGCTGAGGCAGGAGAATCGCTTGACCGTGCGAGGCGGAGGTTGCAGTGAGCCGAGATTACGCCACTGCACTCCAGCCTGGGCAACAGAGTGAGACTCCATCTCAAAAAAAAAAAAAAAAAAAAAAAAAAAAAAATCAATTGATCTGAAATTCTAACTTAACTGGGTGTCCTGTATTTTTAATTACTAAATCTGGTGACCTTATGCTGGCGAGATATATGAAAGCAGCCTCTTGTTTTACACAGGTATTACATAAAAAGCATTTTGTCTTATGTGTTCACCCTGATCTAGGAAGCAATGAAGCAGCAACATATATATTATACAACAAATATTGGTATGTGGAGAAAAAGGATCTTATAACTATTTCAGGATTACCATAGCATTTAAAAAATTCTCACCAAAATCCAGAATATACTTGAAATTTACCAACTGATGTATTCTCTTACCTCAGCATAAGCTTTGGCCCATGTACTCGCCAGCTGATGTAAATCTACTTCACCTGATTTCACAGCTTCCAGGGACGCTTCGGCATCTCTATCATAATCTCTGAGGGATTCCTCTTCTATAAACTGAGTCAGAGCTTCTTTTAAGTCTGTTACAGGGATATCAAACACCATCATCAGCAAAATCCAGGTATAAATAGGGAACATTTTACTTGGCTGAGAATTCCAATGTGAAATCTTATTTTTAAAGTTTTATTTATTTATTTTATTTACAGATGGGGTCTCTGTTAGCCAGGCTGGAGTGCAGCAGGGGCATGATCACAGCTCACTGAAGTCTTGACTTTCTAAACTCCAGTGATCCTCCCACCTCAGCCTCCAGAGTAGCTGGGACCAAAGGTACATGCCACCATGCATAGCTAATTTTTGTATTTTTGGTAGAGACAGGTTTTGCCATGTTGCCAAGCTGGTCTCGAACTCTTAAGTGCAAGTTTTCCACCTGTCTTAGCCTCCCAAGGTGCTGGGATTACAGGTGTGAGCCACCTTACCTGGACATGAAATTTTATTTTATCAAGCTGATACTCTTAATATAATCTCCAACTAAAATGAAATCAGCTTAGAGGATCATTTAACTAATTTCATTGTTATTTTTCTTTACTATTACAGGTTATTGCACAGAGAAAGGTCAAAAGTCTTATCTCTTATGTATACCCTTAATTATAATAAAGTAATGTTACTTTCTTAAGCCTGATAATGCAGTTTGAAGCCAAGTGAGTATAAGCACATAAAGAAAATGCTACAGATTTTGGGAGTCTGAACATAACTGTATTTAGATTAAAAACAGTTTTCCATGTAACTTTAAAGGGTACATTGTTACATACTTTGAAAGAGAAGAGGAGTGACTATCTTATTAAAACATTTAACTCAGATGACAGATTTCAGTTTTACAGACACCATTTGGAGAATGACATGATAGAAGAGTACTGAGAAAGAAGTCAGGACACCTGTGTTCTGGCTTCGGCTCTGTCACTATGTCTGTGACTTTAGATAGTGGTTCATAATCTTGAACCTGCATTAGAATCCCCTGGAGGCCTTATTGAAACAGACTGCCAGATGCTGCCTCAGTTTTGGATTCAGCAGGAATGGGATAGAGCCTGAGAATTTGCATGTCTAACAAGCTCACAGGTGATGCTGTTGCCAGAAGCCATATTTCAAGAACCACTGCCTTAGGTAAATAATTTAACCTCTTTATGTCCCAGATTTCTTATTTGTACAATATGACTGGGTTATAAGGTTTCTAGGGTCTCTTGTAACTCTAACCTATGATCTAACATACTCTGAATTTTAAATTTTTCCTAGACTGTAAGATAGAACACAGGCCTCTAAAAATGGTTTAATACATATCACTTTATAAAAGTAATTTAGGTAAGCGAAGACTATTCAAAAATTAGTACACTTTCTGTTCTATGGCATCTCAGAAATTAATGACCAGATTATTAAAAGGGCAACCAATCTAGCGCTACAATTCTATAACACCACAATTAGTGATAGCGGAACTGCCTTATGACTTCACTCAACGAAATTCAAAGAGCTCCTCTAGTCCAAACTTTGTAACTAATTTTTCATTATAAAATCAAATTTTTATACTTTACAAACAACTACCAGAGTTATAGGAAAAAACACTCAATAAAAGAAAGCTCTGAGGAAGTGTATTTATTCTTGGAATCAGTTCCTATTTTATGGCTGTTTCCAAAGCTTCTTAGGTTTATGCTAATATGAAACCTCTAATGACAAATACTATTGAAAATAATAAAGTGGTATTACCTAAAAAAAAAAAAAAAAAAAAAAATCAGTCCTCACCTTTCTCTATAAAGCACGGTAAATTGTGCAGCTGCATCAGACGTCCATGCAAATGACTGGCATTCTCTTGAACAGGAAATCTGAGGGGCACTCTCAGTTCTAAGCACTGACTTCCTACTTTAAATTCATACACAAATTCTCTCTCTCGATTGCAGAATCTTTCTCTGTTTTTCTTCATATTCTTTGACAGGATTTCTATAGAACTAACAAAAAAGCAGTAGGTTATAAGTCCATAAAGATATTATGTTTCATTATTGCTGTCCCACTTCTTTTTTTTTTTTTTTTTTTGAGACGGAGTTTCACTCATGTTACCCAGGCTGGAGTGCAATGGCGCGATCTCGGCTCACTGCAACCTCCGCCTCCTGGGTTCAGGCAATTCTCCTGCCTCAGCTTCCTGAGTAGCTGGGATTACAGGCAGGCACCACCATGCCCAGCTAATTTTTTGTATTTTTAGTAGAGACGGGGTTTCACCATGTTGACCAGGATGGTCTCGATCTCTTGACCTCGTGATCCACCCGCCTCGGCCTCCCAAAGTGCTGGGATTACAGGCTTGAGCCACCGCGCCCGGCCTGCTGTCCCACTTCTAATAAAACATTCCACCATTCAAGAGATTTTATCTGTGTGACTATAAGCCAATTATTCTAGTTTTTCCCAAGTGTTATCCCTGTACTCCCATCTTCATGATGAAAACAAGTGCTTCTTTTTTTTAAAAAACAAAACAAACGAGAAAACAAACAAAAAAACCCACTTTGTTTAAACTTGATTTAAGAAAAAAAAATATGGCCATAAAGTACTTTATATTCCAAGGCAGGGTTCTCAACAACAAGGAAGGACCATGGAGAGAAGAGCAGAGAGAATTCTTAGGGAAAGCTCACGGGTGGGAAAATACAAAGCTTATGAAACAGTTGGTAAAAAGAAAGTCAAAGAAACAGATCAGGGACCAAGCAGTGATCCTGGAGAACTTAGAGACCGTGGTCATGAGATCTGATTAGGGGAAAGGGAGGAAGAAAGTGTTAGAAAGATTTCCATGTGGGAAGAACATACACAGAAAATAGAGGGTACAGGACCTCCACTTCCACCCCAAAGGGTGCCAAAGGTAAACTAGACACTATTAAGAAAGAAAATCTAGTTAAAGGCGGTAAGAATCAATACTGATTAAAGATTTATTTATTCATTAGCCTTGTAACTGGACTCCCTATGGCTAGGCTTTCTCCATCAAATCATTTCTCACATTTTCTACACTGAAGTTATACTAATCTTTCTTTTGTTTTTTAATTTAATTTAATTTATTTTTTTGAGAGGGAGTCTCCCTCTGTCGCCCAGGCTGGAGTGCAGTGGTGCGATCTCGGCTCACTGCAACTTCCACCTCCCTGGTTCAAGCAATTCCCCTGCCTCAGCCTCCTGAGTAGCTGGGATTACAGGCGTATGCCACCACGCCCAGCTAATTTTTTTGTATTTTTAGTAGAGACAGGGTTTCACCATGTTTGTCAGGCTGGCCTTGAACTCTTGACCTCACGCAATCCACCCGCCTCAGCCTCTCAAAGTGCTGGGATTACAGGCGTGAGCCACCGCGCCTGGCCCATAATCTTCCTTTTTTAAAAAAAGGAATCTACTTATCTGATCATGTTGTTCATCTGCTTAAAAACTTTTTATGGCATTCCATTGGTCTCAGGATAAAATGTAAACTCCTTACGCCAGTTTACAACGTCCCTACTTGTATTTCCACTCTTCTCTCAGAAACTGCACCTCTCCTTCCTAACACACAAATTCACAAATTTTATTTTCCAGCCATTCTGAACTTGTCAACACCAAACTTCTCTTTCCATGTCAAATCTTTTTGAATGTCTTTTCCTCTGCCTAGAGCACTCTTAACACCGATCTTAATTTCCTTGGATAGCAACTGCTAATTCTTCAGGTCTCAGTTTAGCCCCTCGGAAGACTTATCGAACTCCCTAAAACTGGATTGGGTCCCAACAGGCTCTCAGATTAGCCTGGACTTATTTAAATCATGGCACTTATCACGCTCTATTTTTTACTTTTGCTAGAAAACAGTCTTCTTGAAGTGGAAGGAATACTGTCTTGTATTCCGTTATTAGGCAGGATGCTGGGAATATAATGGCAAGAAGTAATAAATAATTGTTGGGTTGTATGGCGTTTTTATTTTATGGTACTCACTGGAAAAATAAAGAACAGAACAAGTAATTATTTATATGGTTCTTTAAAAATATATCACCTAAAAAAAAAAAAAAAAAAACTCAGAAAAAGGACTTTTGTACGTGTGTGGAGGTGGGGGGCGGGGCTGATGAGTTGAATGATCTGACTATATTTTCAAATCTGCATGTAGGCTATACATAAAATTTTCATCTATTTCACCATCACGCAAAGAGGCAGGGTGTTTGTGTTTTACTCAGAAATAATTAGTTAACATTTATTAAACTTAAAGCAATAAAAATTTTTATAGTGTTAGAAAACTACCGAAACTACACAGAGGTCTAGTCTATGATGTGGAAATTCCACTCCTAAGTATATGTCCAAAGACACACACACGCATATGTTCGTTAAAGTATACGTAGAAGAATGCTCATATAAGTTTTATTTATAATAGCCCCAAACTGAAAACAACCAAAATGCCTATTATAGGAGAACGGTAAACTTGTTTATTTTATGAGATAAATACTACACAGCAATAAAAAAGAACCAACCACTAATAAATGTAAAAATATGAATGAATCTGGAATGTTGAAAAAAAAAGACACAAAAGCTCTGGTTCAACATTTAGACGTGTGTTTCAAGAAACCGATAACTTTAGTGCTTTCTCTCCTCGCTCTTTTTTAGACTAATGGTCTATCCAAAAGCTTTGGCTCAGTTTTAGCAACCGTGAAATCTAGGAAGGTTTCCCATAAGAAAATGGGCTGAGAGGAGGGCTGGACCGAACACACACAGCCAACAGAGCGGAGGCTGAGGCTCACATTAGTCAGGGAAAAGGAAGGCAGATGGTCGAGCTAAGAAACTTTAGCCAGGTGAGGGGACTAACCCCTCTGTAACGGGTGTCAGTCTGAAAGGGCTTCCTTACTCTCGATTCTGGGCTCACCTCGCCTAGTCCCGAAGTCCTGAGCCGCCCGTTCACTCGAGCTGTCAAGTCGTCTAGCACCGGAAAACCAGCTGGTTTACCGACTGATTTTTACAGCCCGCGGATCCGCCACCGTAGATTCGCCACATCCTTTTCTAGTTCCTGGCATCTTGTAGAAAATTTCTCAGTCCAAGTGCCCATTTTTCCAACCCTGCTTCAATTTAACCATTTTAAAAGTGCAAGAAGGTGTATTTCTACTGTTGTTCTGTATTTCAGAGACAGCAAAAACCCGCCGTTGTGACGAAAGTGCAGAGACAAAGCACAAACTAGGCTCTGGTGGACCGGATACGGAAAAGTGGTGCCTTGGGAAGGGCGGGAGCAAATTCGCTTTCCTAACTGCGCGTGCGCAGCCTTCAAGCATGGCTGGTGGTGATTGGACGACGGGTAGCAGGGGGCGGAGGGCGCCGATGTCTGGTTTTGGGCGGGAATTGAAACCGCCACTGCAACCAACAAGAACTTGAAAACTCTAAATATCAAGTCTCGAAAGGGATCATGGTGCGGCCTGTAAGGTGGGTAGTTCCTGACATTCGGCGGGGGTGGGAAGAAAACTTAGGGGCAATACATGAGACTAAGGGGAAAGGATCGACTAAGACCGGATCGCAGCGGTGGTGGGGGTAGGATGGACGGTTATCGAGAATTCAGTCTCCAGTGATACCTGTTGCTCAGAAGTTATCCTAGCATCGTAGCTTTTTCCTTCTCTTTGCCTCCCTTCACAGCCGTTGCCGTTTCTTGTATCAAGACCTTGTAATGTTAGCGTTTGCACAGCGCTTTACATTTCACCGAGCTCCCAATTTTGTGTTATTTTAGTTTTCTATCACTGTAGTTATTTGATATAGAAAGAGTAAACATTCCTGTTTTATTGATTTATCATTTCTACGTATAGAGGGTAAGTTACCTGAGTCATACGGCCCAGTAATTGGCAGGGCAATACTCAAACCTAACTCATCACACTGCAGATCGTTTGTGCTTTCCATTACAGTATTAGAAAAGATTCCTCTATTTACAGCTGAGTGCCATGGAAGCCTACGATTAGCCATTCTTAGTAAAGTTATTGAACATCTTCATTTCTATAATGTACGAGGTGCTGGAGGTTACATTCTAGTGGGAGGTGAGGTTAGGGGCCGAAAATAAGCATCGAAGTATGATAGAGTGCAAAGGAGCAAAGCACTGCTTTAAATATAGTAGTTATTTTGTGCCTCTCTGAGGCGGTAATATATGCACTGAGTCATGAATCAGGGTAGAGGGAAGAGGAGCCAAAGCCCCATACTTGACTATGTTTTAGGGACAGTCTAAAGCTGTAGGATTAACAAGCAGTGGGGAGAATCATAGGGGAGTGGGTCAGAGAAATAGGTGCCAGAACAGAGAGGGTCTTGTAAGTCTTAGAAAGGAGTTTAGGTTTTGTTTTAAGTCAATGGGAAGTCAGTGGAGGGTTTTAAGTAGGGGAGAGAAATCTAAGTTTGCTTTTGTAAAAGTCACTGGCTGCTTTTGGAGAATAAATGGTGGATGATGGGGTGACCAGAATGGGAGCAGGAAAATCAGGCTATTATATCGTTGGAGAGCAGTTTGGGATAGGGTATTATCGGTGGACATGGAATGGAACAGATGAATTTGAGATGTGTTTTGGAGGCACTGCAGACAGAACTTGCTGATGAAGTAGATGTACAGGTAAGGGAAAGAATCAGAGATGGCTCCACAATAGTTTTTGGTCTGAGGTACAGAATGGATGATCTTTGTATTAATTAAGATAAGGAAGACTAGGAAAAGGAATGAATGGGTCAGGAGGTATGAGGGATCAAGATTTCTGTTTTGAACATTTTGAATTTGAAATGGGCTTTAAGCATTCAGGCAGTGAAGTCATAATCCCATTGTGTGGAACAGCAGTTGTTAAAGTATGTTCTGCAGAACAGCAGTTGTTAAAGTATGTTCTGCAGACTTCTGGGAGTCCCTGGAAACTTCTCTAGAGGTCTATGAGATCAAAATTCTTTATAACAATACTAAGACATGATTTGCCTTTTTCATCACTTTTGTCATTTGCGCTGCAGTGATGATAAAACTGCTGGCACCTCAGAATAATTAAGGCAGTGACACCAAATTGTACTACTAGTCTTTGCATTGTTTACTACCATACTCTTAAGAGTAAAAAAAAAAAGAAAAAATGAAAATTCAGTTAAGAGTATGCTTGATGAAGTAGCGAAAATTATTATATTCATTATAGCTCAACCCTTGAGTATACTTTTTAAAAATAGGCTACTGATTTTATTTTACTATTATTCAAGTTCAGAATTTCTAAAGGGGTTTTCATATCTTATTCAGCTCTAAATTCTTTAACTCTGAAGAAGAAAGTAATGTGAGTGTACTTTTTATTATTTTGTATGAGGAAATGGGAAGTACACATAAGCACCTCTACATACTGATGCATGATAGTTATCTCAAGGAAAAGCACTTGTGAGATTGTTTCAGTTGTGAGCTGAGCTTATCTTTCTCATAGAACATTATTTTTACTTGAAAGAACAACCAGCTGACAAATTAGGTTATTCACATTTGCACATTTGTCAAAATATAGAAATAAAAACTAGAAAACCATTTTATGTGCCTAGTGCCTAGAGGAGGGAGGAAGAAAATTATTTTTCACTTTGAATATCATTTTCTTCTAATGTCCTCTAAAGTAGTACAGGTTGAATATCCCAAATTTGAAATGCTCAAAAATTTGAAGCTTTTGGAGTTCCTACATGACACTCAAAGGAAATATTCATTGGAGCATTGCGGATTTTAGATTTTCAGATTTGGGATGTTCAACTGGTAAGTATATAATGCAAATATTCCAAACTCTGAAAAAATCCAAAATTCAAAACATTTCTGGTTCCAAGCATTTGCATTTCAGGCAAGGAATACTCAGCCTGTATAAAGATTCATCTTAGGTGGGAGGAACAAGGTCACTCACCATTTTTAAGTGTCCATTGCATAAAAACATTATTTGGTATTGTGGAGAGATTGATAAAAAAGAAAGTAGCTTTTAGTGACAAGAAATTTGTAATTTAGTAAGGAAGATAGAATGCACACACAAAACCGAAGAACATGAACAATGGGCACTTAGAAATGCCCAATAGCAATTAAACAGTATAGAAATTATAAGTGTTAATTATATGCATTATTCTTACTTAATAAGTTATCTGAATTTTTTTCCTTTATCATAGAATTGAAAAGCCAACAATACCCACATATATCAGGTATAGTTGTAACTATTTTAGCTAATGATAAGTCCCTGCTGTAAAATACAAATCATGTTTTAGATTTAAGTGTTCTTACGAGAACCCAAACACATTTTCATTTATTCAAGACTGTTAATAGCCTTATGTAATAGAGGTGAGAAATTAACATTTGTGTTAATGAGAAAATCCTGTTTTGGTCATAGACATAAGAAACCAGTCAATTACTCACAGTTTGACAACTCTGACAGTGATGGTAAGTAAAGCTTCTTATTTTTGCTTTAAAGATTTGGAAACTAATTTCCTGAGAATTTATATGACATAGATAGCTCAAACACTGACTGACCTGCCCAATTGCATATCATGTAGGTCTGGAAAGATAGTTTTCTAAGCATTTTGGATAATTATGCTGATAATTACACTGATAAAAATTATGTTGGTAAGTGATAAATGAACAGGGCCAGGCGAAAAGTCTCTTTAGATCTAAACTACTCTAGGTCTATAGTTATCACATTGAGGTTTGTCTCCTGTCTCATCCCCGAAGAATCTCTATTAATTGTAATATAAAACAAGACCTTGAAGAAAGGTTAGGCTTATGCCTTTTAAGCATTAGTCATATGTTTACTTGACTATGCTATGATTGGCAAGTTGAGGAACATTGCATTAGATTATGTTATAGGTTCACCCTTTTCAACGTATAACATAATATTTCTTTCTTAGACCAGTAGAGTTTTCTGTAAGTCAAATATTTAGTAAGCCTTTGGTTTGAAGCAGTCTGTTTTTGCCTAGAGCACAGCCTTAACTGTATCTGCCACTTGGGAAAAAGGTAGAGAATAGAGCCTCTAGCTTTTTTTTTGACTGTCATCAGCGTGTCACCAGATACTTAATAAACTGCCAGGTGTGTAGTAGGTGGGGGTGGCAGCATGTGGAGGGAGCCATAAATTATCCTATTGATGGGGAAGCATATAAGAGGCAACAAGTATGAATGCTTGCTAAGCATGTGATTAAGACTACATAGGCCCTGAAGGTACGCATATATGTGTTGTGTACGTGTTGAAAAGCCACAGCAGTTTTTTGTTGACAGTCAAAAGAAGAGCTACAACAGTTCTGAGGATTGGTAGGACAGAAAAACCTGTGAGAAACAATAATGGACTGGAAAAGAACATTCTTTTGCCAGAAAATAAGAAGTTACTGTGGTAGGGTCATAGGAAGATCGTTACGGTAATGGAAAGACGAAATACTACTATTGCAAAAATCCTCAAATAGGAGCTATTTTCTCTTCCCCTATATTGCTTCTTATTTTCTCTAGCATGGTTAATATACTAGAAATAGGTAATGGATTCTTTTTTTGAGACAGTCTCACTCTTGTTGCCCAGGCTGGAGAGCAATGGTGCAATCTCAGCTCAATGCAACCTCCGCCTCCCGGGTTCAAGTGATTCCCCCGCCTCAGCCTCCTGAGTAGCTAGGATTACAGGCATCCGCCACCACGCATGGCTAATTTTGGTATTTTTTTAGTAGAGACAGGGTTTTACCATGTTGGCCAGGCTGGTCTTGAACTCTTGACCTCATGTGATTTACCTACCTTGGCCTCCCAAAGTGCTGGGATTACAAGCATGAGCCACTGTGCCTGGCCCAGGTAATGGTCTTTGAAAGACGATATTGGTTACATTGTGAAGTTCCCATAAAAAATAAGTTATTTCCATTTTTCAATGTGATTAAATTCTACAATTTTTCTAATGGCTTTACAGGTTTTTAATCATTTTTTCTTTGACATTTATATGCTGTCTTAATTGCTTTTGCAGTTTTTAGTGAATTGGTTTTTGACAGACTGATATTTTTAAATATAAAGGCCACCAAAACAAAGAAAAGTCAAAATAGATGAATAAGAAAAAAGATAAACTAAATACTAACAATGAGTTTTAAATTGTGGAAATTAAACAATTTGCCTAGCCTATAAAAACTTGAACACACAGTGTAATTAATTTCATTTACTAAGAAAATAATCTTTTTCTTTTGATTTTAATTCACACATGAATAGATGATTTTATTTCTGCAACTGTACCTTTAAACAAGAAATCAAAAACAACACCTAAGGAGTTAAAACAAGATAAACCAAAACCTAACTTGAACAATCTCCAGAAAGAAGAAATCCCAGTACAAGAGAAAACCCCTAAAAAAAGGTGAGAGGTAAGACATACAGTAAATATATGAAATTAGATGTATTAATTTTAAAGAGACCCAGATTCAAACCATTAATTTAAATTAGAGCTTGAACAGTCATAGGTCTCATTTTACTAGGTGCATGTCAGAAAACAGAATGTACTATTAATTTTTTTCTGGCTTTCTGACTTAAAAGAAATTCACAAACATATAAGGAAATACCATTTAAATATTAAGACAATAATGATTGTGGAATTTAGAAGTTATGATTGGTTTTGACAGGACCCAGCACTTGTCTCTGAAGTCTTCAATTCATACAAGACTACTTTCTTAAAAATAACATTGGTGAGGACAGCTTCTAGAATATAAAACCATGTATTTTTTTTTTGCAGAAAAAGATGTCTTTTCCCTATGTCACTAAGATTTGTCCAGCAGGCATAAGCTCTCGTAGTTTCTGGACTAATCATGGAATTTCATTATATATTGCCAAGAGGGAGAGAGGAGTGAAGGACGTCCTTAGAGACCCAAAACTTGCAATATGGAGAACAAATGGACGGAAGAGGAATACTAACAAATGGAACATGGCTTAGATAATGTTTTACCGCTACAAGTTTCTCTATGAATGTTAGCATGGAGAAACTTACCTCATCTCATGCTCTTTTTTGGTTTTTGTTTTTGAGTTTCTTGTATTACATTTTAAATACATTGAAAAAGGAACCCACACATGGCAGAAAATATTTGTAAATCAGATGACTGATAAGGAACTATATCCATAGTATATACAGAACTCTTAAAACTCAACAGTAAAACGACTAACAACACAATTCAAAATGTGCAAAAGATTTGAATAGACTTTCTCCAGAGAAGATACACAAATAAGCAATAAACACATGAAAAGATGCTCGACATCATTAGCTGTGAGGGAAATGCAAATCAAAATCAGAATGAGATAATGCTTCCTTCCCACTAGATGACTTAAAAAAAAAGACAAGAATATGGAGAAATTTGAACCCTCATATATTGGTGGTGGGAGTGTAAAATGGTATAGCGAAATTGGAAAATGGCTTAGCAGTTCCTCAAAATATTAAATACAGGTATAGAGTTATTATATGACCCAGCCTAGGTATGTATCCAAGAGAAATGAAAACATATGCCCCCACAAAAACCTGTATATGAATGTTCAGAGCAACATTATTCATAATAGTTAAAAAAAAATGGAGGCGATCCAAATGTCTATCTGCTAATGAATGGATAAGTAAAATGTGGTATTTACAAAATAGAATATTATTCAGCCATAGAAAGAAATGACTGCCAATAACTGATACATACTGCACTGTGGATGAACCCTGAAAACATGATCCTGAGTGAAAGAAGCCAGATGTACAGGCCACATATTCTATGATTTCATTTGCATGGAATGTCCAAAATAGGCAAATCCATAGAAACAGAAAGTAGATTAATGGTTGCTAGGAGCTGGGAGAGGGGTAAACAGGAAGTGAATGCTTATAGGTGTGGGGTTTCTTTTTGGGGTAATAATGATGTTCTGAAATTAGATAGTGATGGTAGTTTTACAACTCTGTGAATAAACTAAAAAACTGCTGAATTATACGCTTTAAAAGGTAAACTTTATGATATGTGAATTATATCAAGAAAACTGTTATTTTAAAACAATTCTTTAAGGTACATCTCAGTGCTTCCTCCTTTATGTAACTTTTCCTTATCTTACTTTCTTTGATGTTTTTTTCCTTTTATACTCCATAGCACTTTTGACCAATTTGATTAGGACTTACTATAATCTGCCTTTTATAGGATAATTATTAGCATGTCTTATTTCCCCACCCTCTTCCTTAAATTGCAGACTTCTTGAAGGTACTTTTGGTATTCCATCTAGTGTAGTGCCTTGTATAAAGTAAGTGCTTGGTAAAATATTTGTTAGTCTGTGTTGGGAGGAACAGATGTTAAAAAATGATAATAATTTTAACATAAGAGCCATAATATCTGCTAAAGGGAAGTGGATGAGGTCAAGGAAGAATTCTAAGTGGAAGTGATGTTTCAACCAAGTCTGTTTTGGGTTGAGTAGGTGCTTCCCACCTGGACAGACCTGATAGTAAGGTGACACATAACAGTGAAAAGGAACTGTCACTGCAAAGAGGCACATGCTCCTCCTATTTCAGACCTCTTATTCTGTATATAACATGACACCGTGACATTTTAGAGTCTTATCATCAAAGGTCTATTAGTGATGATGATTGTTTAAAAACATTTTTGTGAAGTTAGAAATTCTTAAGTAGTCATTTAGGAAAATCTCATAACTTTGCTCTTTATTTGAGATTGATATTTTGAAAAACTCATTATTATTTGTGTATCTATTTTAGGATGGCTTTAGATGACAAGCTCTATCAGAGAGCTTTTGCACTAGCTTTATCAGTGAAGGAATCTCCAACAGTCACCACTAATGTGCAGAAGTCTCAAGATAAAAGTAACTTTATTTTCTGTATATTTCCCTTTAAAACCTTCTTAATGCTTTTGTAACTATTTCTTTGGATGGACCTTCACAGAAGAAAGAGTAAAATGTAACTACTTTGCACTGTAAGTAGACCCATTTGCAGAGGGTAGACCTGGATTCAGTTCTTAATTCAGCTGCCTAAATCTCATACAAACAGACATGCATCTCTGCTTAACACCCAGAGTATGCTTGAGGACATGGACTATGAACCTGAATGTTCAAATTGTGTGTTAGTATACAGTGAACATTTAATTTCTCCATCAAGTGAATTGATCTTTACAGTCCTAACAATCCATCTCCTTTTTCCCCAGATCAGTTGAACATGTCCTAATCATGGTAATTTTTATTACTCACAAAAGTCATAGTTATTGATTTGGTTAGCAAGCTCAGTAGACTTAAGAGAATGGCTTCTGGATTTCTCTGTTGGTTTTCTCCTTTAATTTTTTTGGCAACTATGCAGCAGATGGTATATTAATACTCTAGAGAGGCAGAAATCATTATTTCTGAAAAAGATACTCAAACTGCTTAAATGTTTTTTTGGCTTCAAGTTTTTATGTTGGGGGATATTTTAGCTTATTATCTTATTTAGGGGTATATGTGTGCCTTTTTTTGTTTTCTAAATCAGTACTGCCTCCTTATTTATTTATTTATTTATTTATTTATTTATTTATTTGAGACAGGGTCTCACTCTGTCACCCAGACAATAATACAGTGGCATGATCATGGCTTAGTACAACCTTGACCTCCTGGGCTCAAGCAATCCTCCTGCCTCAGCCTCCTGAGTAGCTGGGACTACAGGCATGTACCACCACGCCTGGCCATTTCTTATTTTGTAGAGAGGGGTCTCAATATGTTGCTCATGCTGACCTCAAACTCACAGCCTCAAGCAGTCTTCTCGTCTCAGCCTCCCAAAGTGCTGAAATTACAGGCGAGAGCCACCTTGCCTGGCTGCCTCCTCTTTAAAAAGAAATGAAAGTTTGATTAGGAAGACTTTTAGTAACCAGGAATCAAAGAAACATCAAAAGAGAATTACATCAAAATGTAATCATGAATTCATTTAAAATTGAGGCACTGAAATTTCTCTCTCTCTTTTAAGACATTATAGAATGTATAAGGGGAGTTCCTTAGAAGTAGTAATATTATACCACTTCTTATTAAATAATCCACTTTGTAGCATTGGGATTTAATAGTACCAATTATTATGTCTTAAAGTCCTCTTAAAATGCTTTGGATTTTTTAAGGTTATAATGATTGGTGAGTTCTTATGTTAGTAAAAGCATGGATTTGCCTACACAGAATTGATAGTTAATATCGAATGACCATTTCCTGTGCATCGGACACCATAATAAGCAATTTCCATGTGAGATCCACATTTAGTCTTCTGTAATACCACTATGTGAGACACTTTTTGTCTCCACGTTATACATGAGGAAATGAAGTTTTAGGATAAGCAACTTGCCTGTGGTCATACAGCCAGTTTACATGGTAGAGCCTGAATTTAAACCTAAGTATGTTAGATTTCAGAGCCCAGACTTATGACCTGTTATGTTAACCTCTCCAAATAAAATTATTGTGCTAGTTCGAGTTTGGGATCATTTATCTAAATCGAAATGCTATTACATTTTAGTACTAATTTTTCTATTTCTAGACATTATTTGATTGAGATATACCTGAATTTTCTTTCTTATTCCTTATATTTAGGTGTTGAAAAACATGTCAATAGTAAAACAGAAGCAATGAATAAGTCTCCTCATATCTCTAATTGCAGTGTAGCCAGTGATTATTTAGGTAAGTTATTATATTAATAATTTTTTAAATCAACAATGCTGTTTTTCTGACTTTTGTTTAAATCAATGAAATTGTGGCTAGAAGCAAGTTCTTGAATTTGTCAAGGCTCTCTTGATGTCAAGGCCTTTATTTCTTTGTGTTATATTCTATTCTCTCGTACTGCAGACACACATTCTTCCCTGAAGGGTCATAACTACCCATGACTTCTAGTTGGAGCAACCGATCTTTGAAGAAAGGGGCTGTGTCTTCCTAGTGCTAGTTTGAAAAATTTGGGGGGAAAGATTATCTCTGTTTGGGTCTTGGATTTATCCCTAAAACTAAAGTTTGTTCCCAGGGCACTGGGGTAGAACGGTTGGCCCAGATTGGGCTAGTAAATAGTCTTATTACTAGAAGCAGGGGAGGGGTGAACCTAGGTGAATATAAGCAATAGCTGTAATAGAGCTTGCCCTGCAGTTCTTGAAATATCAGCTGTCACAAAGTTTTCCATTGATTTTTATGCCTCTCCTGAAGATTTGGATAAGATTACTGTGGAAGATGATGCTGGTGGTGTTCAAGGGAAAAGAAAAGCAGCATCTAAAGCTGCAGTACAGCAGAGGAAGATTCTTCTGGAAGGCAGTGATGGTGATAGTACTAATGACGCCGAACCAGACTTTGCATCTGGTAGGTTTTATCCTGCTTCAAAATTAATCCTATGGGAATTCAGTGCAAAAGCATTGTGTTATATGCAAAGGATTGTGTTAAACCTTTGGGGTGTGCAAACTTCAGGGACACACAGAACAGTTAAATTCAGTGATAACATTTGGGGAAAAAGCTTTTTCTAGGAGTTAACCTTTAAGCTATGCCTTGAAAAATGAGTAGCATTTCAACAAACTAAAGGTGTAAAGTAGCATTTCTGACTGATAGAAAGGCATTACCCATGGAATAGACAAATGCTCATATAGGAGTTGAGTGAGGCTTGCTGGGACGAACATGGAAGAAGCTTGAGAGGGAGGCTGGTACTAATCACAGAGAGTCTCAGAACTACTCTAAGAAGTCTAGACGTTTTTATCTGTAGGTAGTAGAAATTCATGAATTATTCTGAGGCAGAAGGTATATGAAAGCTGTATTTTATTATGATGGTTTTTAGACTCATTTAGAAATTGGGCAAATGGAAAGTGTTGTGACCTTGACAGAATTATAACAGTAATTAAAAATTCAAATTAATAAATTCGTAAATTTAGGCCAAATCAGATACCTTATTTTAGATTTTGATATACTGTCAACGAACAATAACAGATTTGTTCATCATCACCTATTCAAATAATATTTGAGTGTTTTTTATGTGCACTATATTCTAGATTCTAGGGATACAATAGTGAACAAAACAAACAGCTCCTCTCCTTGTGGAACAAAGGAAATGCATAAAGAAAGACTGTTTTGCATTTATTTTACTTTGGGAGGACCTGAGAGACAGGAAGATATAAGGACACTTTTTGAGTGCCAACGTAATGCTCAAGGAAATATTCATTCGAGCATTTTGGATTTCTGGAGTTAGAATGCCCAACTGGATATAATACAAATGTTCCAAAATCCAAAAGAAGTCTGAATTCTGAAACATGTCTGGTCCCAAGGGATATTCATATATCCAAAGTAATTGAAAGCAGGATCTCAGAGATACTTGCATACCCATGTTCATAGCGGCATTATTCATAATAGCCAAGAAGTGGAAACAGCCCCAAAGTGACATTTTAGTTTTCCCTCTGCATTCGCTTGCCCTGGAGGAGAATAGAAAGGACTGTGTGTGACCTTCATTAATGAAAGAAAAGAGAAAATTGCAGAGAAGATAAGTCTTTTCTCTAATGATTCCCAAAATCCATAACTGAAGTGTTTGGGCCTTCCAGATTTTCCTTTATGGGATGCTAATGACTTGTAATTTTGGGAACTCCAACTCCCCATCTCTAATTTTATTTAAATTGCTTTCTCAGTTGACTAACGAAGATTAGTTGGACCCCATTTCTGAACAAGCTTGTTAAACAGAAATGTAGCCAGCTTCTGCTGTTTATCCTCTAGGGCCAAGAAAAGAATCCTTAAGACTTCTAATTTACTGAACACATGCAATGTCAGAACAGTGGGATACATAGAAGGTTTTGTTCTAGATTATCTATTCTGAAAGTTAGGAGAAACTTCCTCCACTACTTACCCTCTTCGAACCTCTTTGAAGGCTCTTGGGATTCCTTGAATTTGCAGGCTACATTTATAACAGGCTTCATGTGATCTGCTGGCCTATTTTGGGCTAATTCTATATAGCACAGTAACCATTATGTGAGTATGTGAGTTGATTACTCTATTTTTAAATTTTTGTGTCAGAACAATGATAGAATAAGGAAATTGTAATTTGAAGATCATAATGACATTGTTTTTTGTTTTTGTTTTGTTTTGTTTTTTGAGATAGAGTCTCGCTCTGTCATCCAGGCTGGAGTGCAGTGGCACGATCTCAGCTGACTGCAGCCTCCACCTCTTGGGTTCAAGCAATTCTCTTGCTTCAGTGTCTGAGCTGGGACTATAGGCATGTGCCACCACACCCCAGCTAATTTTTGTATTTTTAGTAGAGATGGGGTTTCACCATGTTGGTCAGACTGGTCTTGAACTCCTGACCTCCAGTGATCTACCTGCTTTGGCCTACCAAAGTGTTGGGATTACAGCTGTGAACTACTGTGCCTAGCCCGTAAATGACATTGTTGATTTAGGTAAAGGTCATCAGTGGAAGGTTAATGAGGATCTTTACAATGGTAAATTCAGGTTGGCATCAACTGAACCACCTAAAACAGGGACAGCCACACATTTTATGATTTCTAATGTGATGTAATATGAAGTACAGAGCATCACCTACGAAGTATATTCTTGCCAAAAAAATAAATAAAGGTGAGCCTGAATCCAGTCAAGCCTTGAGAGCAGAATTCCAGCTCACATAAAATGCAAGAATATGGCTAGGCACGGTGGCTCATGCCCATAATCCCAGCACCTTAGGAGGCTGAGTAGGGCGGATCACTGGAGGTCAGGAGTTCGAGACTAGCCTGGCCAACATGGTGAAACCCCATCCCTACTAAAATACAAAAATTTTCTGGGCATGGTGGTACATGCCTGTAATCCCAGCTACTCAGGAAGCTGAGGCAGGAGAATTGCCTGAACCTGGGAGGCAGAGGCTGCAATGAGCCAAGATCGCACCACTGCACTCTGGCCTGGGTGACAGAGTACGACTCCATCTCAAAAAAAAAAAAAAAAAAGCAGGAATAAGTTAAATGACACCATGAGCAAGAAAACAGACAAATCCAGAACTTCGGAGATTCTGCAGGACAATTGACCCAGCTGCTTCAGCAAGTCAGACGCAAGGGAAGACAGGGAAAAGATACTGCTCTATATTAAAAGAGATTAATACAGACTGAATAGAAGATGATACCAAGAAACTAGTGTTAGTATTGCTAGATGTGGCGATGGTATTGTTATGTAAGAAAATGCCCATTTTTTTTAGAGACACATTCTGAAGCGTGTAGGAATGTAACGATGTGATATCTTGGATTTATTTTAATAAACTACAAAAAGGGAAGAGAAGGAGAAAAGAGAGATGGATGAAACAAATGGAGCAAAATGTTGATAATTGTTGAATCTGGCTGGTGGTTTATTACTGTCTACTGTGGTATAGGTTTGAAAATTTTAGAGGATTTTTATTTCACAGATAATTTCATATAGACAGGTTGATATTAGTATGTGGGGATAATAGCGGCTATCCCTAAGTGGCGAGATGACAGAGTAGATTTTCTTAATAAATTTTTGTATGGTCTACATTTCCTGCAATAAGCATGTACTGTTTATTTTTCATTTTGTACATTTTTTTACTTTAAGCATTTTCTGCACAAGCATGTTCACACTATTAAAAATGTAAGAAAGTTTTATATGAATATAGGACTAACCCTATTTACACTTAGTTTTCAGAGTTTATTTACAAGGCATGGTTTTCTGATCCTAACCTCCTTAAAAAATAGAAGGATAATTGCTTAACTATCAGGTTAGGACATGCTTTTTTCCAGAGCGGCTGTAGCACTTTCAAAATTAGATCACTGGCTTATTTTTTCCCATAAAGGGCAGAAAAGCCTTTTTGTGAAATAAAAGTTTGTCCCAAATGAAGTCAGCTGTAGGATTATCTGTTAAGATTGTCGTGTATGGTTATCTCAATTCTCAATTGGTCTATTCCAGAATGTCGAAGTTTTGTGATTAAGGGAAGGCTCACTCTTACCATAAATGCATTGTTTTGAAAGATTAGCTATTGTCATACCCTACCATTCTTTTCAAAAGTGACTGAGTTAAAGTAAAATCTGAAGTAAAGATTACTGATGGGAAATTTATAGTGATAATCTTAATAGCAAACAATTATATTTTGCTTGGTATACGCCAGATGTTATTCTAAACGCTTTGTACATATTAACTAATTTAATCCACACAACAACCCTTTGATGGAGGTTTATGGTTATCCCCATTTTCTAGGTGAGGAAACTGAGGCTCAGTGAAGTTAGCGACCTGTCCGAGGATTCAAACCCAAGGCACCCACAATGTCAGCTGCAGTGTTCTGCTACTGGAAACAGTGCAGCACAAAGGTGCCTAAGAATCTGCTGCCAAAGCTGTGGATAAAGTTAAGGCAACAGAGTCCTGACTTTTTAGAGCAAGGATGAAGTATGTAATCTTCTGTTTTAGGTGGAGGTTCTGAGGATGATTCCGATTTTGGTGAGAGTGAGGATAACGATGAAGACTTCTCTATGAGAAAAAGTAAAGTTAAAGAAATTAAAAAGAAAGAAGTGAAGGAAAAATCCCCAGTAGAAAAGAAAGAGAAGAAATCTAAATCCAAATGTAATGCTTTGGGTAAGCTTGGTCCAAAACACTTAATTTTATAAAGGCAATGTATGTGGTTTATTTGCTGTATTTTTCTTATCTTTGCCTTTGTTCTCTTTAACATTTTCCTAATGTTCATTTCCTGTTAAAATATGTAAAAGGAAGGTAGGGGTGGAGAAGGGTGAAAAGCAGACAAGAATGCCAAGTCCACTACCTATGCCAGCACTTATTATGTGACCTCACTTTGGTACTCATGGCCACTCTCTGTTGTCACCTGCATTCTACGGTGAAATACTGAGTCTCAGAGAGGTTAAATAATTCGTTGGAATTCTTATGTCTAATAGGTGAGGGGCTAGAATTTAAACCCATGTTTGTCCATTCAGTGTCTAAGCTGTATCTTGGACCACATTTTCTCCAGGCAAAACAGGGAAGTTTGCATGATTCTAATTTTTTGCTTTTGTGCTTACTTAGTCTGATTTGAGAGCTCTTTTGCCACGTTTAGGGCCCTTTTTTAAAAAAATTTCTCCAAAACAAATTCCATTAGAAACTTTTTAGGATAAAACGTTTAAAACGTATGATGACTCAAACATGGAATACCTGTTTCTTGTGTAAAAGAAGTTAGGATATTTTTGAGTTCATAGTATATGATAGGTTATTGCAAAATATATCTGTCATTAACTGAATTTGTTTTTCTTGATAATCATTTTTATGTCTTAGTTTATTTAATGCATATGCTATTGATATTAAAAGTTCCATTATTTAGTCTTTCCATTTATTTATAAGAGCTGCTGTCACCTTAAAGAGCATGTTGCTGAGTACTTACTAAGAATTAAATGAGAATTAAGTACTGATTGAGTTTTATTCTTCTGTGTCCTATATTCTGAATTAATGAGGTTTTAGAGTGTTTTTTTTTAATTGATTACTCCATCTGGGTTCCAGAAATTAGATATTAAATACAAGGGCTTTTAGAGTTAAAACAGTATATTAGTTTCCTGTTACTGTTATAACAAATTACCACAAATGTAGTGTCTTAAAACAACACATATTTGTTATTTTACATTTCTGAGTATCAGACGTCGTAAGTGGTTGTCACTGGGCTAAAGTCAAGCGGTCAGTACGACTGTGCTCTAGGAGACAATCCACATTCTTACCTTCTAGCTCCTTGGGGGGTGCCTGCACTTCTTGGCTTGTGGCCCCTTCCACCTTCACAGAGCAATGGCAAGGACTTTCTCACATCATCTTACTTGACTCTGACTTTCCTCCTCACATTTACTTATAAGGGCCTCAGTGATTACATTGGGCCCCTCGAAATAATTCAGTATAATTTTCCCCGTCTAAGATTCTTAATTACATCTGCAAAGTCCCTTTGCCATGTAAGGTAACATATTCACATGTTCTGGTGATGAGGATGTAGACATCTGAGAAGCCAGTATTCTGCCTACTACAAGCTATAATATGAAAAAGTTATTAACACCATGAATATATTTTGTATTTTCTTTAGATGTTTGTATATGCTTCTTCACCAAGACACACTGATAACTAAAAATAAAATTTCAGTTCCCAAATTGGAATTAACCATTTAAAATCTTTTCGGTATCCCTTGGAGCAAGTTGCTTCACAACTGAGATTAATATACAATATTAGAAATAAAATTTAACCATTAAGTGATAGGATTAGGAATTAGGAAAAATTGGTATATTTAGTAATGTATTGGGTAAACTTTGAGAATTGTATCTAGCACTTGTCATAATTTTCCCTTGATAGGAAAAATGTTGAGAAATGTGCTGTCCAATATGGTAACCTCTAGCCATGTGTGGCTATATTACATTTAAGTTAATTTAAATTAAGTAAAATTTAAAAACCAGTTCCTTCGTTTTGCAAGCCACATTTCAAGTGCACAGTAACTCTGTATAGCTAGTGGCTACCATATGGGACAGCACAAAACACAGAACATCTCTATAATTACAGAAAGTTCATTCAGACAGTGCTGATCTAGAGGATGCAGTTATTAACATTAGGAAGAGTATATGGTGAGAATGTTCATATTCATATGCATTTAAATACCCCTAGTATCTCAAAACAAGCACTATCTTAAAGTGAACTTATATGCCACCTTTCTTCCTCCCTCCCCACCATGAAAGAGAGAAAGAAAGAAAAAGAAAGACAGACATACTTCCAGTCTTGTGTTCATTCTCTAGATAAATGGCACCAGCAAGCATGTCATGCCCATGTCATGCCTGTGCCCATGACAGGAACTTGCAAGTCATGGATTATTTCTTCGTCTCCATTGCTGCCTCCCACCTATCTATTTTTGCTAAAACATAGCTGATGTGCTGTTTTCCTTCTATTCTCCACCTTAGTAGGCCCCAGTTTCCTCTTACCTGATTGCCATAATAGTCTTCTAAGGGACCTACTTCTCCTGCACTACCACCAGAAAGATGTTTTTAAAATGCAAATCACTCCCGAGGAAAATGTATGCGTGATCGTGACTAGCTAGACTCTTTTACATGGTTCACAAAGCTCTTCATAAGTGATCTATACCCTGTATCTATCTCTCACCTTTCCTACCCTTGAGATTTCTGCTCCAGCCATATACTGAACCAGTCAGTACTACTGGCCCTAGAGCTTGGTGATCCTCCATCTTTGCCCGCTGTACTCCCTCTGCCTGGAAAGCTTCCCTCAATTTACCTTTACTCTTCAATCTTGATTGGGTTCAGCCCATCCTCACTCACCTCCTTCTAACTTCAAAATGCATACACCCAGATTGTAGTTTCCTTTCCTACTTGGCATACCTCTAGAGTCTGTCATATCCCTTACCACACTGCAATTTACACATCTTTACTTTCCTGTTCTTTCCACTAGAGTCTAGTGACTAGACCATAAAGTCCTTGGGACCAGGGGCCACGAATGATACTGTTTGTAACTCTGGAGCCTGACACATGGTCTCACTGACACATACTGACGAGACGCTATTGTGTAATGATTGGTTACAAGGATGGACTTTGGAGGAAAATCTGGTTTCTAAGCTTAGACGCTTAACCAGCTGTCAGACTATAGTCAGATTGCTTAACGTCTCTGTTTCCTTCTCTGATAGTGGGGAGAGTAATATCTGTATTGGAGTTGTTGTAAAAGGTTAAAGGTAATGTGTATGATATGCCCACCCACTACCCGGCATATTAATGCTTATAAAAGATGGCTGTTCTTAGGCTCTCAATAAATGTTTGTTGATTAATAAGTTTATTTTTTATATGATTATGTAACATTATAATTTTTACACATACATGCTAGACTTTTTCTTCCTGAATGACAAACTTTTTTACATTTATTTTTCAAATAAGTGACTTCGATAGACTCTACTCCAGCTGCTGTCAAATCAGAATCTCATTCCTCGCCAAAAAAGGTTTCTCTTTCTTCAGATGCCACTAGGAAACCATTACAAATATGCAGTCCTTCAGCTGAAAATAAGAGACCTAAATGGGTCCCACCAGGTATGGTATATTTATCATCAAGGGCAGTAGCTTGGAAAATTATCACTGGTAAATTTTTTTCCTAGTTATAAATGTCATGTGTGAGCATTTCCCTATATTATTACATATTCTTCAAAACCAAATTCTGGTTGCTGCATTTATTTAACCATTCCCTTATTAGACATGCAGGTTTATGATTTTTTAGTGTTCTAAGTAAGATTGCAATAAGCACAAATGTCCTTATTTTAGAAATCTCTGAGCACATTACTGATTATTTTCCTAGGATAAAATTTCTAGTAGGATAATTACAGTGTTAAAGGGTATAAACATTTGAGATTCCTGATATATGTATTTTTGGCAGCACATCTTTTGCTCAAGACCTGCTTGACCTCCACAGTCTGACTGAAGCCTTGGGATCTATATGTGGCAATTCTAGCATTTAACAAATGCCCTAGCAAAGTCAACCTCTGACTTTTACGTGTTTCACTTCTCTTTGTTTTCTTTTGCTCCACAGCCAAGCCTCATGGATCCTTCAAGAATTCTTTGACCTTCACCCTTCTTGACGTTACTAAAACCTGAATCTAGGCCCAAATTGTTGCTACCTTCCTAACCAGTCTTGTCTTTGCTTTCTCTCGTCCATGGACCCTCTAATTCAGTGAAACCCTCTATTCAGTGAAACACTTTTTGGCTCTCAAACATGTTATATGTTTTACTCTCTCAGGGCCTCTCTTTATCCTCCTCTGCCTGGTATATCTTTCTTCATATGTTCCCTCTCCTTTCCTAAGCCCTTCCAATTCTACTCCTGTTTTTCTTTGGAGTGCCCTTTTTTGATTCATCCACAGTCGTCACTCCCCTGATGACTAGTATTCAGATTTAGGCCTGAACTGTGACGCTACATGATTACTTAACTAACAGAGTCTTAATTTCATCATATGAAATATTGGAAACAAATATAGTCTTTAAAATCCATTCTGGTTTACAAATTCTAAGATTTTTAATGAGGACCTAAAAGCTCTTTGGAGAAGAAAAGGAGGGAAGATTAATTACTGAAAAAATGATGTCATATCATTCAAAGAGTAATACTTCGTATATTTCTAAGAATAATTAGTGCTTCCCCAATGAAAGAAATGTAAAAGAAATGACATAACTGTAGAAATTTAAAAGTAGCATAATAAAAAAGATACAAGGAAACAGTAGAATGATGGATAAAGAGTTAGTATCATAAAGCACAAAGTGCTTATAAAGTCAGTATGTGATGGGGTCAGGCAAGTGATGTCACGGGTGAGTTGGGCACATGGAGTAGACTTGGGTGAGTAGGAATTTTGTTGGACTCAGGAACACAAACCCTTTGGAAGGAAGCAGCTGCTACTCAGCTCTGTCTTTTTTTTTTTTTTCCCATTTATTTATTTTATTGCATTTTAGGTTTTGGGGTACATGTGAAGAACATGCAAAATTGTTGCATAGGAACACACGTGGCAGTGTGATTTGCTGCCTTCCTCCCCATCACCTACTTCTGGCATTTCTCCCCTTGCTATCTCTCCCCAGCTTCCTACCCCCCACCGTCCCTCCCCTATTTCCCCCCAACTGACCCCAGTGTGTAGTGCTCCCCTCCCTGTGTCCATGTGTTCTCATTGTTCAACACCCGCCTCCGAGTGAGAACATGCGGTGTTTGATCTTCTGCTCTTCTGTCAGTTTGCTGAGAATGATGGTTTCCAGGTTCATCCAGGTCCCTACAAAGGACACAAACTCATCGTTTTTAATGGCTGCATAATATTCCATGGTGTATATGTGCCACATTTTCCCTATCCAGTCTATCGTCTTATAAAGGATTATGGGCCTGGTATTTCTAGATCTGATTTTAGCTTTCAAGAGTAGCCAGAAATCCAGATTTTAATATGAAATCTGCTAATCTTTGTAAGTTGATTTTTTTTTTTTAAGCACCATGTGAACCAAACAATATATCTGAGAGCTAGATTTGGCCCACAGATTGCCAGTTTGTTACCTATCTTATACAACTGGAGAAGACCGCCAAGATCCCAAAAGTGAAATCAGCCAGGGGCATAAATATACCAGTGTCCCCAAGAACTATTAATATGACTAGAAAATAGGAAGCATTTCAGTCTCACTGGTAATTAAAGAAATGTAAATTAAAATTAAATATTTTATACCTCTCAAACTAGAAAATGATAAAACAGTATAGCCTGAGTTATAGGGTAGCAGGTATAATTATTTTAAATTTATAATACTGTTGTGTAGGTGAGCAACTACAGTCACCATCAACTGTGAATATTAATGTGGATAATTTTGAAATAGGTGGAAATAATTGCTACATAGGGTAATAGTATAAATGAAACTAGTATAAATAAATAAAAACAATGTTTGCCACTTTAAACGGTATTTAATAATTGAAAACTAGACTATTCAAGGACTACTTGTAAAAATTGAAGGACCTTAAAAATGCATTTGCTTTTTATTTGACTTTAGAAATTATCATGGTATGCATTTCTTTATGCCTTTACAACTAGTGTTATTTGTTCCCAGCTTTCCTTTTTCGGCTTTCGTGGTGAAGTTTAAGTGTCATTAGCTTGACTTCTGGGATGTTTGGAAATAGGCAATATTATATTATTTCTGCTCTTTAGTACATTTCATTCTTTTGATCTCATTTATTGTTTGATAGACTCTGGAAAGCAGAATAATGCTTAACTACCTTTTTTTCTTTTTGGCTTCTTGTGTTAAATTAATCTTTGTTAAGAGATTTCTGACATAATCAGCATTGCATCATGTGTTTCCTTTCAGCGGCATCTGGAGGTAGCAGAAATAGCAGCAGCCCCCTGGCAGTGGTGTCTGTGAAGTCTCCAAATCAGAATCTCCGTCTTGGCTTGTCCAGATTAGCACGAGTTAAGCCTTTGCATCCGAATGCCACTAGCAGCTGAGTGTGGTACCAGAGGAATGTTCGGTTGAGAGAATCACAGCTTTACAATGGTGTTTATATTTGATTTATGTTTATATTTGAGGCAGGTATTGTAATATAAAGGAGTCCATTACCATGTCCTATAAATGATCGCTAGCTATTTTATGTTTATGTTCTCTGTAAAGCTCTTCAAGACTTCAGTGAGAGTTTTGTTTATAAGAACTGTCTTCTCATGCCTTTCCTTGTGAAGAGCATATTCTATTTTTCTATCAGTTCTACATGAAGGAAGTCCACATCACATGCTGTTCTTTTCTAGTTACATGATGTGCCTTTCTAGCTTTAGCTAGTTTATAGCACCTTAACTGTTCAGTTTTATCTGGCAGAGGAAACATTCTTATTTTTCAGAAGACATTTCTGAAATCTTATAAGCTACTTAAGCTACCTTGTCAGTTTTATTGCAAAGGTTTTTTGTATTTTAGCCAAATCTTTTTATATTACGAATTTGGAAATATTTTACACACAAAAATGGTTGTGGTTGTATGGCATGCATCTCCTATGTAGATGGTTGCTCTATAGCAAATAGAATTTAAAGACATTTTATTAAGTCTTCATTGTCAAAACCTTTAATAAAAGTGGAAATATTTTGAAATGCTCTTTTCCTTGATGCCACTGCATACACCTGTTCCTGACTGTCCACATTTCATGATAAAATGAGAGCTCTGCAGAGAATGTTACCATTTTGTTGTAAACATGAACAAGGGAAAGCTGTTTCTTCAAGTAGTCACTTTTTGTTAAGTTCTTTAGAAAGAAGTTGTCAAGCACTTAGTCAACCCTATTGTGATATTAGATAATACAGCTTTTCAGGAAGCTTAGATTTGAATTTACTTTGAAAAACAATTGTAACGAGTATTTTATATTCATGGTGAGAATTTCAACTAGCTTCTGATCAATTTTTAATAAAAAATTTTCAAATCATGTTAACTGTTAAAAAATGTATAACACAACTCAGTTTTTCTTGGTTTATTGAAATGTCCATGTGAATGTGAAAATAATTAATTTAGAATTGTGATTAAAGTGAGCATTTGTCTACTGCTATGTACACCTTTTCTTATGTAGTGTATATTTTTATAGTCATATACCAGCCCCCAACCTGCCCTACCTGTCTCCTTTTTAAAAACATATTTTCTGGTTATGTAGCATTGAGGTACTCTATTTGGTGCAGATCAACAATAAATAAGAGCCTACTCTGCATTAGGTACTGATACAATTGATTAATCATCTGGCACTAGCTTAATGACCTGTTTTGCTATGTTATTCATATTTATAGTTTATTTTTTGGGGGGAGTTGTTGAAAATTGCCTCAAAGTATGTTAAAATCAGTCTGGCTGAAGGCACTGGTACCTTCATGTTGCCAAACCCAGTGTACAGTTTTCTCACCTAATCTTATACACCCTGTGCATTATATGCTGATGAAAACATTTTATTTCCTTGGCTCACGTGAGACATTTCTTTGTCATCTTCTTCCCATCTCCATGCCTACTCTTCATTATTTTGAAGCTTTCTAATCTTTTGTGTCACCGGTACCTACTTGTCTTACCAGTTTCACGTTCTATGCAAACTCCAATGGTCACTTATGCAACAGTGACTGCCACATCAGAATCTTTACCCTACACCTTGCTCTTGACACAAAACCTGTGGATGGTCCACTGACAATTTGATGTACTGGATCAGTCACTGAATTCAGGCAGATCATGAGGTCAGGAGATAAAGACCGTCCTGGCTAACACGGTGAAACCCCATCTCTACTAAAAATACAAAAAATTGGCCAGGCTTGGTGGCGGGCATCTGTAGTCCCAGCTACTCAGGAGGCTGAGGCAGGAGAATTGCTTGAAGCTGGGAGGCAGAAACTGCAGTAAGCTGAGATCGCACCACTGCACTTCAGCCTGGGTGACAGAGTGAGACTCCATCCCCCGCCAAAAAAAATTCAACCTCTCCTACCCCTGACATCTTCCCTACTGTGTTTTCTGTTGGTAAATGAATGGCCCTGCGATCACAGCAGGTGCCAAAGGTAATCCTGGGATTGAATCTTCTCTCGACCTTCACATCCAGTCACCAAGTCTTACTCCATTTCCTAAATTTCTGAAAGCTAGGCTTCCATGTGCTCTCCCTTACTCTGAAACGTCAATACTCACTATTTCTAACAGGCATCCTTGCCTTGATTCCTAACCTACTCGAGCCTACATTCCATTGTTACTGCCACAGAGGGTTTTGTAAAATAAAGTCAGCATGAACAACCCTCTACAGTCCACACACATAAACCTTACCCTGGTCGAGTTCACAAGCTACTTCGTGTCTGGCTGGCCCCTTCCTGCTGTTTCAACCTTGTCTGCACATGTGCACCTTTGACGCCTGCCCCACTAAACTGGGTGCTGGCACAATGGCGCCATGCTTTTCCATGGCTCTGGCCTTCAGACTAGGACTTGCTTCCTTTACGTAGCTAACTGCTACCCGTCCTTGAAGACTCAAATTCATCTCAGCTCTTTCAGAAAGCTTCATTTGAATGTCTTTTCTCCCTGGACCAAACTCTGTGCTTCTCCAAGTCAACCGACTGTCATTCAATTATAAATTTACCTTATTTTTCATGCTTTCCTACAACCTGGTACAGAGTAAGCGCCCAAAAAGTGTTCAGCTGATGGATGGATTTTACCCGGAACTTTTGCGACGCACTTTTTTTTTTCCTTCAAAACAACTTCTTTTTTTTTTTTTTGAGACGGAGTTTCGCTCTTGGTACCCAGGCTGGAGTGCAATGGCGCGATCTCGGCTCACCGCAACCTCCGCCTCCTGGGTTCAGGCAATTCTCCTGCCTCAGCCTCCTGAGTAGCTGGGATTACAGGCACGCACCACCATGCCCAGCTGATTTTTTGTATTTTTAGTAGAGACGGGGTTTCACCATGTTGACCAGGATGGTCTCGATCTCTTGACCTCGTGATCCACCTGCCTCGGCCTCCCAAAGTGCTGGGATTACAGGGGTGAGCCACCGCGCCCGGCCCAAAAAAACTTCTAAATAGAGACGGGAGTGGTGGGTGGTGGGGCGGGGGGCGGTCTCACTGCATTGGCCAGGCTGGTCTTGAACTCCAGACCTCAAGTGATCTCCTGCCTGGAACTGCGGAAGCGCTGGGATTGCAGGTGTAAAACCACCGCGCTGGGCCAGAACTTTTGTGATGCAATTCTGATAACCACAGGCTTTGTTTGAAGAAGGGAAGAGTAGGGATAATTTCACGTGTCTGGTCTGGGCAACCAACATGAAGCTCTTTATGCTGGGATTTTGTTCAATTCTTGCCCTGTACTTTAAAGAACTAGGGCAAGAGAATGCGAGTAGGAGGATGAGAAATATGTTCTTTAGGCTGCTGCTCTGCAAGGTGATTTTGGGACTGAGGAAGCGCTTTCAGCTCCGGAGTCACAGAAGGGCGGAGGCCGTTTCTATAGCGATGGGAGGGGTGTGGCTGTCTCCCGCACCCCGCCAGGCGCTCCCAGCCTCCCGCAGCGGCCGGCGGTCAGCGCCCGCCTCCTGCAGCTCCGCTCGCCATCTACCCGCAGCAGAATAAAAGGACCGCGGAGGCTCTTAATTCGCGAGCATTCCGGCAAGAGTACGAGCCAGCTAGGGTCCACTACGCTCTTCTAGGTGACAAAGCTGGGAGACGGGGTCGTGGGGAAGAATGAAGAGCGCGCGGAAGGCAAGAGTAGACTGGGGAGTGTGGGTCAGAGGGAGCGGGGCGGGGTGTGGTGCGCAGACAAGGAAAATACAGTTGTAGTTTTTGCAACAGCCGCATCCCCGGAATCCAACATCACTATACTTTTCTGTTAAGATGCTGATGCATCGCCGACTCCAGCTGAGTGCGGGACAGGGAGTGAGGGCTTCTGAGGAACTCATCAGACCTACCCTGGAACTGTCCTTCCAGCCCTCACTGGGACGCCAGACTTTATTTCTCTCTTTCTTTCTCTTATTTACTGCATGTCCACTTGGTAGCCCTAACTGTGTCCATGACCACACGCCTCGCGTTGAGGCTCTGGCAGGCATTAACCATGTTCCCACCCACCCCATATGCCTGGGCACCTCTGTGCTCAACCAGAGCCCAGCGCCTGTCACAAAAGCACGCTAAGGTGTGTGTAGATCATACACCCAGAGCTGCCGCTCTGAGGAAATTCCCAAAATTAGCAAATCTCTCCTTTAAAAAGGGATGAACAATGCACAATTTGAGGGGTTTTGAAGGCTATTTTGTGACATTTGCTGCATTGGAAATGTCCAGCAGCTCCTCAGAGCTTAGGAAAATTGTGACTCCTCTGACATGTCTTAAGCAACGGACAGTATCACCAATATTTTGTTTGTTTTTTTGAGACAGAGTTTTGCTCATTGCCCAGGCTGGAGTGCAATGGCACAATCTCAGCTCACTGCAATCTCCACCTCCCGGGTTCAAGCTATTCTCCTGTCTCACCCTCCTAAGTAGCTGGGATTACAGGCATGCACCACCACGCCTGGCTAATTTTTTTGTATTTTCAGTAGAGACGGGGTTTCTCCATACTGGTCAGGCTGGTCTTGAACTCCCAACCTCAGGTGAACCGCCCGCCTCGACCTCCCAAAGTTCTGGAATTACAGGTGTGAGCCACCACACCCGGCCACCAATATTAATTCAAGCTTCACTGTCCCGGATTCACTGTCTAGGCTTAAGCAAAGACTTGGCAAAAGCAGGAAGCCATTTAGTGGAAAAGTTCAAACAGCGGATACAACAAATGGAAATATCTTTTGTCTTGCTTGAGCGATTTAATCACCTACACGTGGTCGGTATGTAAAACCTCATGGTTCTAAGAAATTCTTCAAGCATGGGCTCTGGCTGATGGGTTCTATTACTTACATCTCGTTTCTTGTTATTTTTGGTTCTGATGGAGAAAGCAGAGATAAACCGGAAGGGAATCTCTAGCAGTATGCCAGCCACTCTTCCCTGACTTTGCCTTCTCCAACTCCACATATTGTTGTCTACAACTTGGCTAGAATCCATACTTCTCAAGCATGCGGAGGACCTGGCACTGGGAATTAGTGGTTTTAGCTGACTCCAAGCCCATTGTGAGTGTGTTGTGGTAACTCCCCAAAGAGCAAACGCTGGTGGAGGTTGCATTAATAGAAATGCAATGACCACATCAAAGGATATGGTCTTGCTGCCAGACTTAGCAATGATTAGAACATAATCCAGACTCTAGAGACTATAGCCACTTTGAGATCATAAAAAACTAGAAAATAAGAACAACCACAAGCAGACTGTCTCTGTCAGGCCTGGATGTGCCATCATAGGAAGACAGGTTTGAAAACACTTCACAAGATGCCTGGAGATAAGGAGGTGCAGGGGAGAGAAACAGGCTTTTTTCTACTCAGGATTGGAACATTCAAGAACTCTTGAGTAGGAAAGAGACAGATTTGTTCCTTTGTACTCTGCAGAGGATAGCAAGGATCAGTGGGGGAAATTTTGCTCAACATCATTTATTTTTCCAAGAAATATTTATCAAGCACCAACCATATGTAAATTAACAGCCGAGTGTGAAATGGGTTGCCTTGAAAAAACAGTGCAGTCTGTCACAGAAATATTCCAGCCTAGATAGAGTGATCGTCAGGGATGCCATAGGAAGGACTCTCCCCCTGGGTGGGAAGACAGATGAGATGGTCTCCAAAACCACTTCTAGCTCTTTAGAGTCTGGGAATCAGTGAACCTTCAAGAATTTCAGGGATATATGCAAAGGGTCCAAGGAATTCTCTATGGCTGAAATGACTGTGACTTAAAATACAGTTAGATAGAAGAACTAAGACACAGTGTTCAATAAATCAGCAGAGTGACAATGGTAAACAATAATCTGTTGTATATTTCCAAGTAACTAGAAGAGAATACTTGGAAACCCTGACTTGATTATATATTATATAAATGTATAAATATATACATCTATTATGTATCAATTAAAAATGAATATAACTTAAGTTCATTAAATACATTATCTCCTGTTCACAGAATGCAAAGGGAATCCCTGCAAATCCTACTTTGCCACACT